ATATTTATCATAACCCAAGAAGATAACACTGAAAAACATGAAACAGGCGCTGCACACAAATATTTAGTGACCACTGAAACTTGCATGTAGCAAAGAATATCAAAACCAAAATGACTGAAATGCAAACAGCATAAAAAACCAGTATGACTTCTGCCTCATCTTTTCTTGTTACTGAGCTTTAAATTATTAAATGCTCTCACTTCCTGGTCTGTCAGAAACCACATTGTTTTAGAGTCAGAGCTGCTCACTCAAAGGAAGAAGGAGGGACAACAATTGTTTTTAGAGATGTTTTAAGACCTCTGGTAATAGCAGAGTATCTTTGTAAACTTGAGGGTTTTTCTCCTAATATTTGATCTCCTCCATCAAGGAAACAATACTTACTAGTCTACTTGCTTTAAATCAGGCAATTTAAAGCAACTGGCCCAAAAAGTTCAGTGGTATATATTAAATTTGTAGCTTCAACAAGGAAAAGTTGTTCCCTCAATCTTTAGTGAGATCTGTTATGAAATATTAGATACAGCCACACAGCATTCAAAAAATAGCAGTTGAGTCCCTCATTCAATAATTTAAAAAAGGACACTAAAACCATATTTTGCTCTTCCCAAAAAGCAGACTGTGTAAAACATGTTTGAATGAACTACTCCCTGACACCCTCACCCCCTGCACATGAACATAAAAGTCCCACCTACTTCCAAAGCCAACAGGAAGCAAGAAGGGATGCAAACATCTTTGGAAAACTGCTTTGACTTAAAACAGTGTGTGTTTTTTGATGACAGTTTGAGTTACTACATTAACACTTAACTTTCTTGTTGAGTACACATGTTAAATGTTTAAACATAACAATACGTTTCTCAATTCTAAATAAAGCAACAGTTTCTCTGAGGAAAATGAAGGAGGAGGATGCTTACAGCTGATTCAAGTATAAGAGTGTCTATAAAGAGGCTCATATGCTTTTTTCCCAGCTTTTGAGGTAAGTAAAAAGAATATGGTTGAAATCCAGCATGGTGAAAGTGAAAACATGTAAAAAAATATTAACAGAAAAATAGCATCAAAAACCCTGCAGTTTCTTCTGCACACCCGTGCTGTATTTTCCCCTCATTCAGGCAATCAACTTACCAGGTTAAACACAGTGTCGACTATATCTCTGTTGGACACTTCACCAACTTCCACCAGTCCTGTCAGCACAGCAAATTTCATCTTAATGCCTCGGATGGGGACTCCTGGATTCAAAGGCTGCAGCACGCTTCCCCCTTCAGCAGCATTTCCTTCTCTTCCCGCTCCTCCTCCTCCATCATCACCTGTTGGCTGAACAACTTGTTTGCCTTCACTCGCCATGGCCAGTTCACCGCAGGCTACGGCTTCCAGCGCCAGCTCCACACGCTCGCCGCTCGGGGAAGCGCTGCCCAGCCGGGAAGGTGAG